TCTCTCTCTCTCTCTCTCTCTCTCTCTCTCTCTCTCTCTCTCTCTCTGGCAGTGTTTCAGCTGTCCTAAAACTCACTATATTGCCAAAGGTGACCTTGAGCATCTCCTTCCAGGAGCTGGGATTGAAAACATATGCCAGCATGGGCAGACACCGTGGACCAAACCCAGGGCATGCCAGGCAAGGACTGTTAGCAACCGAGCAGTATGCCTGAGCCCCGAACCTGCCCTTTCCTTTTATGAAGTCCAGTTTACTCATTTTCCTTTTGATGGGTCATACATTTGGAGTCAAGTCTGAACTCTGCCAATTCCTAGATTTTGAAAATTGGCAGCTACCCTGCCCCTAGAGGCATTGTAGGTGTGGCTGCTGTGTCACATGAGCGTCAGTAGGTGGCAGAGAAGAGAGAGGCTATGTCTATGCTCAGTGTTCTGCTCTGAACTGAATGATTACTAGTCTAACACGTAAGCCTGAGATGACCACCAGTCTAGTGTTGCGAAGGTCCAGATGGGCTCCCAGGGTGAGGAGTGAGTCAAAGACTCACAAAGCTGCGTGGGACCCTGGAACTGTGGGCCCCAGGTAGGAGTGAGCCCCAGATAGACAACCCTCATATAGAGCCATGTGAGCAGGCCTGGGCAAGGAGCAAACCCAAGATGACCACCAGTCTGGCACTTTGAGGCCTGGTCAGGGAGCTAGTCTGAGATGACCACCAGTCTGGCACCAAGCAGGTCTGGGGAAGGGAGGACAAACCATGCCTGAGATGACCCATGGCTAGTGCCATAATGCACAGGCAGGACATAGTACTCCTGAGACCACTCCTGAGATGACCCCAGACACTCAGAGACCCTGGGCACCACCAAGAAGAGCAAGTAAGTAGAAGAGAAATGGAAGAGAAAGAGAAGCAGAAGGATGTGGGCACAATGAAGAGAGGCAGAGCCAGAGACTTGAGGGTAGTGAGGAACTGCCGGATGTGAGTAGTTGGGACGTGGGACCTGGGACCATGGTGTGGTCTTGGCTTGTGCTGCTGCTGGAGGCCATGTCTGGGTCCATAGCTCTGCAGCAGTAGGAGCTATGTTACCACCAAAGGCCAGGTGGATCTGGCCCCACCCCTTACCTGAGCATAATGGGAGAGTTGACCCCTCCTCTAGTCAGCTGCAGTACTTAGAAGAGCTTCATCATTGTCCCCACCACCACCCCGTACATTGCCCAAGAAGCACAATAGAGCCAGCCCTGGATTAGGGAATTGTGGGTGGGTGAGTGGGCTCAGAGGGTACGAATGTGGGAGAGCTGGCTGGTAACCTGTCTGCCACATGATGACAAGGACCAGGGAGAGATGCCTTCCACCACCTTTGCCCCTTGCCTCCTATGACAAGCAAGAGTGCTAGTCCCTCGGTTATGACAGTGGGAGAACTGGCCCAATCTCTCCCCTGCTACAGCACTTGGGAAAGTAGGCCCTGCACCTTGCCTAGGCAGCACAGTAGAGCTGGCCCTGATGGTGTGGGTGTGGATGAGCCAGCCAAGAGGGCATGAGAACAGGATAGCTGGCTCTACCCCTTGCTAGTGACAACAATGACTGGCCCATCCAAGACAAGGCAGAAGAGTTCACTCTGGCAGTGTGGTGCAGAAGAACTGGGGAGCTGACCAGCTCAGATACCTCTCAGGCCGAGATCCAGAGCTTTGAATTGGCCCACCCCAACATCTATCCTATTGAAGAACTGTAGGATCCTTGAAGGGACTAGTCCCACAGATCCAAAACTACAGAATCTCCGCAACACAGGGCAAAACCAAGATATCCAAGAGGAATCTCAGTGAGGTTCCAGTATTAATGGTGTAGCAAAACCCAGAGGCCTCAAAGCAGACCAAGGACACATGAGTCCATTTAAAAGCAAAGAAGTGTGGACGAAAGGGTTTACTGTATGACACACTGTGGCACACTAAAGCTCCCAGAATGAGATTTTTTTCCTTTGTAGGGGGATGTGGGGTGGTGGGCTGTGAGAGGCAGTGGGGTACCCAGTTGAGTCTGCTTCTAACCCTGGAAACCCTAAAGGGACAATAGGTGTTTGGCAGTACGGCTGGTCCAGTTCCTCTCACTTAGCTTCAGCCCTCCACAGCCCCTCCCACAGAGGGGTCTATGGCCATCGGTCAAGTAGGAACAGTGCCCCAGGCTCTCCCACATGTAGATGAGGTATCTCCAAGCTCTCAGACCAAGCCAATAGGAGTTACCTGCTGCTAGACCCTAACCCGCTCCCAAACTGTGTATAAGAACCCTATTCGGGAGAAGTAAAGGTGTACAAGAATCATACAAGAGTTTCTGTCGCAAGAGCTCTAACACTTGGGAAGAGATCTGCTCTCCAAAGCACCTTGAGGACCCTTCCGGTGTTCCTTACTAGCTAGCTGGCTTCTCACTGACTCAGCCTGGATGAGCGCAGAGAAGAGTGATAGGCATAGCACCTGGGAGCAACTGGGTGGCAACAGCAGAGAAGGCAGCAGTGAAGGGAGCTGAGGCAGCAGCAGAATCCTCTGTCTGCTCAAACTCGATCCCCTTGGCCCGAACCCCCCAACCTGGCCAGGCCGGAGATCTTCCTGGGAAGCCTTCTGGAACTGGGACCCACAGTGGGAAGGTTGCAAAGGTGGAGGCCAGGTATTAGGAGAGAGGGAGATGAGAGGGGTTGAGGTGCATGACATGAAATTCACAAAGAAACAATAAAAAGTTTAAGAATTGCCAGTTACATATTCCTTCTAATAATTTTACAGGTTTGGGATTCTATTGTTTCTTTTCCTGAACAGGGTCTTGTTATATAGCCCAGACTGGCCTCACACTTGTGCTCCTCCCTAGGTTTCGGAGTTATAGTGTATGCCACCATGGCTTGTCAGTTTATGGGCGGCATGTACTCTGAGAATATAAAATCCTCCCTCCCTTCATAAAGTGTTCCAATGCTGATTCAGGATAGTTTGCTACAGAGGGTCTCCCTTTAAGTTACCTTGGCCAGAAGTCAGTTTGGTGTATTCTTGTAGGTCCGTCCCTGGATTCTCCAATCTCCTCCATCCCTCTATGTACTCAACCTGCCCCACACTCTATGGATTCACCCTGCTCCACACTCTATGTACTCACCCTGCTCCACACTCTATGGACTCACCCTGCTCCACACTCTATGTACTCACCCTGCTCCACACTCTATGTACTCACCCTGCTCCACACTCTATGTGCTCATCCTGCTCCACACTCTATGTGCTCATCCTGCTCCACACTCTATGTACTCACCCTGCTCCACAC